GCAGCGGGCGGCTACGAGGTGGAGAAGAACCCCAGCCGCATTAAGTTGGGGCTCCGGAGCCTGGTGAACAAGGGCACCCTGGTGCAGACCAAGGGCACCGGCGCCTCGGGCTCCTTCAAGCTGAATAAGAAGCCGGGCGAGGTTAAGGAGAAAGCGCCCAAGAAGAAGGCAGTGGCGACGGCCAAGCCCAAGAAGGCGGCGGCCAAGAAGCCGGCCAGCGCGGCCAAGAAGCCCAAGAAGGCGGCGGCCGTGAAGAAGAGCCCCAAGAAGGCCAAGAAGCCGGCGGCCGCGGCGGCCAAGAAGAGCGCGGCCAAGAGCCCCAGGAAGGCCAAGGCGGCCAAGCCGAAGCGAGCCGCCAAGAGCCCGGCCAAGGCCAAGGCGGTGAAGCCCAAGGCTGCCAAGCCCAAGCCCAGCAAGCCCAAGGCAGCCAAGGCCAAGAAGGCAGCGCCCAAGAAGAAGTAAAGCGAGCGGAGGAAGACGCCTGTCGTGCAAACAACCCCAACGGCTCTTTTAAGAGCCACCCACCCCTTCCTGAAGGGAGCTGCGACTCTGGGATGGCTGAGAAATCCCCGCTGGACTTTTTAAATGAAGTTTTTCTCTCTCCGCTCCCCCGCTTTATCTCTGCTCTTTGTTAAATAGACAAGAAAAGCAAGGAGCCTTCTGCCACGGAAAGCGTGCGCCCTGTACCTCTCTGGCTGTGACTTTCTCTGCTTTTTGCAAGCAGGATTGGAGAAGCAGCTCGCAATCGCAGCTTCATTTACCCCGGAATGGACTCAGTGGAGGGAAGGCAAAGGGGACAGCTTCCAGGCGAGTCGGAGCCGCCAGAGCCCGGCCTTCCCCCGGGAAAGTCCGCGGTTGAGCAATGATGGCTCCAGTCCCAAGAGCTGGAAGAGGGGAAGCGGGCGGGAGAAGGGGCAGAAAGGGTGGTCGCTTATCTGCGTCCTCTACTGCGCTGGTGGGGGTGGGGAGTGAGGCTGTTGCTGCAGATGATGATGAGTGAACAATACATTTTTTTTAAAACTTCCTGTTTGTCTCAGGTTTGATTCGTTTTCGCTGTTTTGAAAAGCCCGCGCTGCGCTGGGATTCGCCCCCGCCAACCCGCCCCGCTTTTCAGCGTCCTAATGTTTGGGAAGGAGCCTGCGAGGCGGAGATGGGAGGAGGGCAGAGGGGAGCGGGGCTTACAGGGAGAGCTCCCGGCTGCTCGGAAACCTATGCGCGCGAGCAAACTCCCCATCAGCCGCCAATATCCCCCGGCCGCTTGAGTAAGAGCTGCAAATAAAATGACTTTTCCTGCTTGTAACTGACCCCAGCGATAACCGAGCCCTTTTTCTGGCGAGGGAGGTGGCTCTGAAAAGAGCCTTTGGGGTAACTTTTCCGTGACCAACTTTGCCTTCAGCGCTGGGTTTACTTGGCCTTGGCCTTGTGGCTCTCGATCTTCTTGGGCAGCAGCACGGCCTGGATGTTGGGCAGGACGCCGCCCTGTGCGATCGTCACTTTGCCCAGCAGCTTGTTGAGCTCCTGGTGTTTGCGGAGGGCCAGCTGCAGGTGGCGGGTGATGATGCGCGTCTTCTTGTCCCGCGCCGCGTTGCCCGCCAGCTCCAGGATCTCGGCCGTCAGGTACTCCAGCACGGCCGCCATGTAGACCGGGGCCCCGGCTCCGACCCGCTCGGCATAATTACCTTTCGGAGTAACCGATGCACCCGGCCCACCGGGAACTGCAGCCCGGCCCGCGAGGAGCGCGACTTGGCTTTGGCCCGCGCCTTCCCGCCCTGCTTGCCGCGGCCTGACATAGCTACACTAAGTGACAATATAAAACAAAGAGCTATGCACAGAAAGCTCTGGTAAAAAAAATCCCTAGTTTTTTTGCACTCAGAATTTATACCTGTTCTCAAGCGACTTGATTGCTGATAGGCTGGAAAGTAAGTTTTGCACCGGCAGCCAATGGGGAGACGAATCTTATTCTAACCAATCGTGCTTCTCTTATGACGTCATCTGAATAGTTCAGCCAGTTAAAATTTAGGAGGAAGATTAGCTAGTTATCGACGCTCTCTATAAATACGTTGGGACTTCCGTGTTTCAGAGTTGTGCTGTTTTATAGTGCGTTGATTATTTTTTCGAGAGACAGAAAAGAGGTCTGCTAGGATGCCGGAGCCCGCCAAGTCCGCTCCCGCCCCCAAGAAGGGCTCCAAGAAAGCGGTTACCAAGACGCAGAAGAAGGGAGACAAGAAGCGCAAGAAGAGCAGGAAGGAGAGCTACTCCATCTACGTGTACAAGGTGCTGAAGCAGGTTCACCCGGACACCGGCATTTCGTCCAAAGCCATGGGCATCATGAACTCCTTCGTGAACGACATCTTCGAGCGCATCGCCGGGGAGGCGTCCCGCCTGGCGCACTACAACAAGCGCTCGACCATCACGTCCCGGGAGATCCAGACCGCCGTGCGCCTGCTGCTGCCCGGGGAGCTGGCCAAGCACGCCGTGTCCGAGGGCACCAAGGCTGTCACCAAATACACCAGCTCCAAGTAAACGGGTTCCTCGCATGCTTCCTGCATCGTTTCAACCAAAGGCTCTTTTAAGAGCCACCCACTTAATCATTAAAAGAGCTTAAGTATCACTGTTTCTTCCTTTGCATTCTAAATTCTTCAGCTATCACCTTCCATTGTTTGATCAAAGAAAGTACTACATCTGATTATCTGAGTTTGCAGTGCTTAGAATGTTTTAATTTCTAAAAGGGTTCCAGTATTAAGTGTATGTCTTGCATGTTTAAGGGGAAAATTATCCTGAAATCAAGCCTTGGGAAATAAATGTACTACAACAGAATAAACAAAGCAATTGATTTTTAAGTTGGGTCTCAAGTTATTTTTTTCTGAAAAAAAAGTTTAGGGAGAAGTACATTACTTGCCCTAGTTTCTGCTGCCCAATATAGCTGCACTAAGCATCTGAAATTTAGCAGAAGGCAGAGGAGGGTGAGTTAAATAGTTCAGTGCAGCATAAGTAACAGACATTTTATTGGGCCACTCAAGGGGGTGGGGGAAGACATGCTGAAAGAGAAAGCACTGCTCCCTCTTCTACCTAGTAATTCAGTGGTTAGGTTACTTGCAGAGAATTACTGCATTTTCTCTCAAAAATACACTTCCGCCCCCCCCCAACAGTTTATTATTCTTTTTAATAAGCAAATAATGTTACCTGGTTTTCAGACCGTTTGCACTTGTTATGTGTGGCTTTCATCTACTGACTTTTCTCTTATTCCTCTTTAGGTAGCCAGAATAGTGGATATTATGGAATTAAAAATGATCTAATTATATTTCCTGGAAATGAAAGTTGTGATTTATTTATTGGGCAGGGCAGTACTATTTAGATGCATGTTATGCATTTATTCAAAGGGAAGAGGAAGCATATGGCATTTTACATGATGGATGTCATGGGTTAAGGTTTCTTTCTCAAGGAGACTTCATGAGCACACATCACTTCAACTCTTGTTCTGTGCTCTTGTTCTGCATTTTGGTTTCCCTGGAATAACTACAGGGAAAATTCATTTGATAAGCACCATCAGGGAATATATTTACTGGAGGCAGCACAAGGGAAAGGAGTGCAAGCCATTTATTAGATTTCTGGGGCTACCACTGAGGGAGATGGGCCTATACACATTTCTACAACATAGGCACAGACTTGTGAAATGTTCCATTCATCTCAACCACATGCTTTCAACAGCATGAGAAACCCTATGGAGAGGCATACAGGCTGACTCTGCAAGGAAAAATAAACTAACCCACTGTAAGGCTGACATTTTATTTTCTACCATCTCAAAAACCATGCCTCCCCTGGAAAATGGCAGTCTCCAAACAACCCTTAGAAATATATTTTAGAATACTTAGGACAGCAATAAAAATTATTAACACCACTGACTATGCAGTCTTTCTTTAAAAAATAAAAATAAAAAGGAGCTTTTTTGGTAACAATATAGAAGAATTGTGGTGGGGCACTTATAGCATCTTGTTATACCTCCAAAGGCATGGGCTTTTCTTTCTGGATTCATGCCAGAGGCTTCTTTCAGATGACCCAGATGCTATTTGCGCTGGGAACTCAAAGGTATCAAGATGTGATGGTATGCATATTATTCCATTGTATACTGTTGAGTACAAAAACTAGCATGCCTATTCCTCTTTGGCCTTCTGTACCATTAGACGGTAGAAAAGTTTTCACTTCTTTTTAGCTGGTTTCTTACGTAAATCAACTCCTTTGTTTCCTATTTACATGCTCAGATTTCCTGCTTTGCCTTGATTATTTACCATATGTCTCGGAACCCCTTATTCATAAAATGCTTTTTCATGATAGGAAATAACAGCCCAAACCACTGATTCATCCTGGCCAGTATAGCATGTTGGGGAGAGAGATACTATGGTGATATTTTCAAACTTTTTCACTGGAGGCAGAGTTTTTGCTTAAGGATGTACATTTTGAAATATAATATAATCTACATTCGTAATCAGACACCACAGAAAACATATTTTCAGAACTGAGGCCTAGTGGTAATATTAATGGTGCAAGTTTAGGGTCATTTGGTGAAAGAACTTCCATAAATAGTTAAATTGTGCTAATTTAGGGATGTAAAAAAATATGGCCTGCAGGCTGAATCTGGACCGCAGACCTCTATGATTTAGCCTACCATGTTGCCCATGGGTCTCAGAGGTAATCCACAGGCAGCATGCCAGTCACTAGATGGTCCAGGCATGCAGTGCCTGCTCCAGCATGGGTTTCAGAGAAGCCTCTGCATACAGCTTAGCTCCAGAACAGGACCATGCCACACACTGTGACTGCTCCATCAAGTCATGTGGTAGATTTGGCATATGGGGCTGGTTTGTCTGTCTGATCTGGCCCAGAAACCAGCCCCACGATGTTTGATGTTGATCTAGTCCACAGTGCTGGATGAGTTTGGACCCCTGGTCTAAAACTGGAATGCACCACAACTGTTTTGAAAATTGGTGTGATGCAAAAAGAACTATGATCAATGAGGTGACACGGGTGTTGCTATTTTCAAGGACACGTCTTCCAGCATCTGGTGAGTATAAACCAAATAGCCTTTATTAAAACTATAAAGGGAGGGGGTAGATGAATGTCATGGTGCACAAATCCAAAGTTCCCCTGAAAACATATGTCTTTATACAAATGCATGTATATGTACCCTTGTTGAACCATCCAATTTTAAGTTAACACATACAGCCAAATAACACCTTACTATTTCTTTCTCTTGCATTTTAGTACATTCCTATTTCAATCTATATTCTACCTCCCTTGATTATCTTGTCAACTTCCAAGTTAACCAGGAATGTAGACTCCAGTTCAATTTTTCTTTTGCTCAATATCTTTATCAATACTCTGGAAGATGGCATAGAGTGCACCCACAGCAAGTTTGCAGATGATACCAAGCTAGGGGGGGGTAGTAGATATGCTGGAGGGCAGGGCTAGGATTCAGAGAGACCTTGGTAAATTGGAGGATTGGGCCAAAAGAAATCTCATGAAGTTCAATAAGGACAAGTGTGAAGTCCCACACTTCGGACGGAAAAATTGCACACACCACTAAAGGCTGGGGACCGACTAGCTAAGCAGCAGCTCTGCAGAAAAGGACCTAGGGGTTACAGTAGACAGTACGCTGAATATGAACCAACAGCGTGCCCTTGTTACAAAAAGGCTAATGACATTTTGGGCTGCATCAGTAAGAGCAGTGCCAGCAGAATGAGGGAAGTGAATCTTCCCCTCTACTGAGCACAGGTGAGGCCACATCTGAAGAACTGTGTCCAATTTTGGGTCCCCCACTACAGAAAGGAAGTGGACAAATTGGAAAGAGTCTGGCAGAGGGCAACAATAATGGTGAGGGGACTGGGGGACATGACTTATGAGGAAAGGCTAAGGGAATTGGGTTTATTTAGTTTGGAGAAAAGACCGAGAGTGGATTTAATAGAAGCCTTCAACTACCTGAAGGATAGTTACAAAGAGGATGGAGCTAGACTGTTGTCAGTGGTGGCAGATGACAGAACAAGGAGCAATGGTCTCAAGTTTCAGCAACGGAAGTATTGGTTACATATAAGAAAAAAACCTGTCTCACCAGGAAGGTAATAAAGCAAACAGGTTACCCAAAGATTTGGTGGAATCTCGATCCTTGGAGGTTTTTAAGACCAACTCCCTGTGTGGGATGATCTCTTTAGAAATGGTCCTGCTTTGAGCAGAGGGGTTGGACTCACTAGATGACCACCTAAGGTCCCTTCCAACCCTCATTTTCTATGATTCTATGATTAGATTTGAAGAGAAACTCAATAAAGAAAATAGAAGGTATGTACATTAATTCTAAACCACTAAATCCTTTCAGGCAACTCCTAGGTTGGTCACTGCCTTGTTAGATTGCAGAGTGGCAATGAATATCAAGCAAGCCTTAAATTGGACCACTTAAATGAGTTAATCCTTTTGTACCACCCTAAAGAGGCCTAGCCTGTCTCAACCATTAATAGTTTTGGTACTATTTAATCAAGACATGGCTAAGATAGTGTTGATTGCACACTAACATCCTCAAAACATGAGCTACTAATTTATTATGTGTTTGGGTTTTTTTTTATATAGAGCTGTGTGTGTTTTTGGGGGATGGGATGTGTCAGGTTCTGACACTGTTGGCAGAAGTCTCACTAATAAAGAGATGGGAAACAAACTTGAAACATGGTTTATTTCCCCAGTGCAGGGACAAAGCCCCAAATAACACAACTGTGAACAGGACAATTTCAGCCACCCAGACGTCACCAAATCTACAACAGTCAGTGTGAGGGAAACCGCGCACACACCTTAATCTAGTAAGACTGGCCCCAAATACTGGCCAAGTAGCTCACCGAGAAGCCAGACAGGAAGTGTAGCTATGTTGATTTATATCACTGTGAAACACTACAGGTCTATATGGATTTAAGTATATATTATCTTTTAGGCCTATTCTAGGTCTATAGTCCACACCTATAAATTACTGACCTTGTGTATAGATTATAAAAGAAGGAAATCCAGGATCTCAGTATGTGGTTGAGAAAAATGGTCTTAAAAAAGGAATTTAGTTTCTTATGTGCTGAAGATTTAGAGGAAGGGGAACAAATAGGAAAAGGATGGGCTGAAGCTTAAATCAGATGGTGTGTAAATGATTTTGAGACAAATGTTTAAAGTTGTGGAAAAGCTGAAGGAGCCTAAAGAGTAAATTGCTAATAAAACTTGGGGAAAGATTTCAGTAATACAACAGTGTCTGTGAATCTACCATTAAAAATGGGAACAGACTACAAGAGAAAAAGCATACAAGCACAGCAGCAAAATGTCTAAAATCAGCAGGACATTTAGGTTAGAGAGTTAAATAAATACACTCATCTTGCCAAAATGAAAAACTGAACAAAAGAACTATAATGCTTTGCAATAAAATAGAAATATGTAATAAGAATTATACAGACTTGGTAGAATAACAGAAGACAGACACTGTTTTCTGATTATCAAGTACACAGGAGAGTTGAGTGGTCTGGGCAGTGGCTTTATCTGCAGAATCCTATCCAGTTTAAAAATCAAGTGGTGATGAATATGCAATTGAATCACTGTGAGTCACAACCTGTAACATTCTGAATATATTTAATGGACTAGTCATTGGTGTATGGGGAGGAGGGGCCATGGGGACAGGTGAAGTATATTGTTAACAATGTATTTGCCCTTCCTATTAGTTTAAAAAGGGAGTTACAAAAAAAAAAAAAAAAAAAGCTATAAATTATATATACAAAAAAGCCTACACATTTCGCTAGTGTATCCCAAGAATTAACTGAACAAGACAATTAAAGTGAAGCTGAGATTACTACTTTGCCTTTATCACAAGCTACCCAGGCTATTTCTTTGGAACACCTAAAAGCAGCTATCACGTTTCAATCAGTCATGTTCCAGCTCTTTTCAGTGAAGTTGGAGGGGCTCTAAAAAGAGCCTTTGGGTTTCAGAATGATGCCAGGCAGGGGGCGACCTTCAGCTTTTATGCCCTCTCACCACGGATGCGGCGGGCTAGCTGGATGTCCTTGGGCATGATGGTGACGCGCTTGGCGTGGATGGCGCACAGGTTGGTGTCCTCGAAGAGCCCCACCAGATAGGCCTCGCTGGCCTCCTGCAGCGCCATCACGGCCGAGCTCTGGAAGCGCAGGTCCGTCTTGAAGTCCTGCGCGATCTCGCGCACCAGGCGCTGGAAGGGCAGCTTGCGGATCAGCAGCTCCGTCGACTTCTGGTAGCGCCGGATCTCGCGCAGCGCCACGGTGCCGGGCCGGTAGCGGTGCGGCTTCTTCACGCCGCCCGTGGCGGGCGCGCTCTTGCGGGCCGCCTTGGTGGCCAGCTGCTTGCGGGGCGCTTTGCCACCGGTCGACTTGCGCGCAGTCTGCTTCGTGCGGGCCATTCCCAGTAACAACGACTTTCCAGAACGAATTCAAGCACGTAATAAGCAGCAATATATAAAGCCCGGCGCTTAGAGTGTTATTTATACCCACCTCCCTTCTCTGATTGGTTAGTAGCAACCGGCCAAATGTCATTGGATAGTTTGAAAATTTGAAAATCCCGCGCTTGGAACAATTAAAAACTGATCCTTCCCGCCGGCCCCCCAGCTCACTGGCTTTTTTTTTTTTTTGGTGCTTTGGGTTTAATTTGGAGGCGGGGCGGGAGCGGGGAGAAGCGAGCTTGTTTCCTTTCCCTGCCTTTCTTTCTTTCTTGTTCTGTGTCTTACCCATGGACTGGATTACTAAAATTCAAGGCCTTTTTTTTCTCTTAAAAGTGAACAATCATCTAAGGATGACAGAGGGTATGCAGTCCCCCTCAGACCCCGAAAGGATGAGACCTCAGGGGTCTGCATAGTGATCGATCCCTTACAACATGTACATTGACCAAAGATTTTAAAAAGTCCATCTTTTTTTTTCAACCTGACCTATTTTTTCTTTCAAGAATATATTTGCCTTAAAAAAGGCAAAGGGACAGTAGCATGGGATAAAGTTTATTAAGACATAACTTCTCTCCCTCACCTCTCCCGCCTTACCTTCCTCTCAAAATAATAATAATGAGCGACGTTTTAGTTGGATCAAGCTGCAGTGCCTACAAAACACTAAATCTTTGAAAACACCGCCCTACAAGCACCTCCCCCCGCCCCCACATACTTCCTTTTGAATAGGATCCTATTTTCAGATTTATAATTGCAAATTAATCTCCTCATTGTTTTACGAATATGCTTGGAAGTGAAGCAGAGCATCGTAGAGGAGACGATCTCGTACTGAGTGAAGATTTAAGCATCCTCGACCGGGGAGGTGAAGATTTGCGCGCGACTTGTCTTTGCCTATTGTTTCAGTGAGACTATGGAGCCGGGTTGTAACTAGCCAATCACTGGGCAGCGCGGGCTTTTCAAAAGCGAAGCAATTGTTCATTCTTCCGGGCAAATTCTCAAATTGGGCTGGAAAGAAAGAGAACAGTTTTCAGGAAATTTGTTTTTATCGAGGAAAAGAAGAACATCTTCATTCTTATATAGTCATCAGTACTGAACAATACAGAGAACTCCACATTGCTAGGAGACTTGGTAGATTGAGTGATCTAGAACCGTGCACATTTTTACATAGAAGCCCCCCTCCCCCCCCCCCCCCCACATTTTTAACCCCCCCCCCCCCCCCCCCCAATATTTTAAGGAAAAAAGTACTGTCGTAGCACAGCTCTTAAAGTGAAAGTGTAGGTGGTTCTGAAGAAATGTTTAGTGGTGAAATTAAAGAAAAGGGGGCGGAGGGTGAGGAAGGCTTAGCCATCAAACCTGTACAAAGCACAACCCTAGCTTTTATAAGCATTGATGATACCCTGGTTGTCACCATTTGGCATGTTAAGAACAGTTCAGATCACGTTCTCCAAGAAACACTTAACATCCTACATGTCTCTTCATAGATCGCTGCAGAGATTTGCTTTACACAGCCACAACGGCTGAGTATTACCGCAGTGTCTTTTAGATAGCGTTAGAAAGTACTTACCAAGCTCCCTAAGCCCTTTGCTCACTCAAATATTCTAAAAGTGATTGTATAACCAATTAGCCACATTATATAGGAAGTCCCTGAAGGTCTTGGACATGATTGAAAACCTGAAGCAAGCAAGCCAAAAAAAAGGGGGTGGGGAGGGGAATGTTTGCCTCTCCTGTCTCTTATTTTCTTGTGTTTCTCTGTTGCATGACATTGGGGGGGGGGGGGGGGGGGGGGGGACAGGTGAGTTTTTGGCCCTGCTTGCCCTCCCTACATCAACCACCTTTGTTTTTATGCAGACAGGGGAAAAATCCACATGGAGCTTGTGATTATCAAGATAGATATTTAGGCATATTTCTATGTTGATTCCTTATAGTCCAGATGCATTTTCTAGTTCTATATGCAGTTATAATTTGAAACTGCCATCAATATGGGATGTCTCTGTAAATTGCATAAAATAAGAGGCCCTTAGAATTTCAAACTTGATTTCTCAGTGTAAGCTCCTGTGTGTCACTCCCGTGTATGTGTTCCACAATTTGCCTTTGATTTTAAAATACTCTTCCCATGCAATTGCTGTACTGGAGCCAGTAGTAAAGTCTGCCTAATAATGCTTCCAAGAAAATATCCATTGTTAGGAGTTTCTCCTTTTTTGGGCACCAGATAAAATAAGGCAGGGTCTGATCTGCAGATGTACTGAAAACTGAATAGGAATAGTAAACGCCAGATGAGCAGAAGTTACACATTACTGTGTACCATCCTGCATTTGACAAGAGGATTAATTAACATTCTCAAGAAGCTATGGAGGAAATGAATGTATGACTAAAACATTACTGTTCCTGTGAGGAGAAGCCACTTTCCCAAGTGTCATTTAAATGGTGAAACAAATGCAGGATTTTGTTTTTCAGTTAGGCTTTCTGTAACCTTTAGGCTTTTTTTCAACAAGGTTGTTTCTGATTTATTATACATTTTAATACCTCCCTGTAAATGTGCCCTCAAATGTCAATTAAGACACAGATGCAGATTAGTATTGGAAGAACACTTTCAGTATATAGAACCCCCCCTCCCCCGAACTTCTCAAATTCTCAAATAACAGAATACATCCAAATCCTATAAAGGTAGCTTTTTAAATTCTGCTATTGAATTGCCTAGAAATGTACAAAATAGGAGATAATCCGAAAATAATTTTGTAGGCTATAAAAATACTCCAACAAGTCTTTAAATTATCTCCTAATGTTTTGGGGCGAGGGAATTCTTTAAAAGAATTAAGTGTTGTTAAAATCTATAAACTTTGGTTTATGGCTCCAAACCTCAATCTATCTTAATAGAGTTGTGTTACTTCTGCCTCTTCGCTGTTCATTCATGCTCCCCACATTGACACACACCAATACCTTTAGGCACTACAGTATAGAAAACCATCAAAAATATGAGGTGCTGCTGTGGTTGTGTCTGTATAAGAGAAGAAACACTTTGAATTAAAAAGGAAAAATCAAATCTTTCCTTCTGCTGAGGTGTCTCTGATTTCTGGGACCAGATTTCAGTGGCTCATCTTTAACTTCCATGTCGCCTTTCCAAATGGAAACTCTACAGAAGAAAAATGCCATGGTGCCCCATCACCCAGCTAAGAAACTGGCTGAATATTGTAACATATATGACGAGAAATCCCACTTTTTTAACACTGAAGAAACACATGAGCCGAGAAAAGATTTCTGTCTGTTACCCCTGGGCGGTCTCCTTAACGCACCAATCACAGAGCAGCACTTCTGTATAAATAGGAGACAGGAACCCCCGCGCCAATTGTTTTCTTTCACTTCAGGCAGACCGTTTGCTGCCATGGCCGAGACCGCGCCTATAGCTTCTCCCGCTGTCGCTTCACCTGCGGCAAAAGCCCCCGCCAAGAAGGCGAAGCAGGCGGCAGGAGGCTCCAAAGCCAAGAAGCCCGCGGGTCCCAGCGTGACCGAGCTGATCACTCAGGCTGTCTCCGCTTCGCAGGATCGCAAGGGGCTGTCCCTGGCCGCCCTGAAGAAGGCGCTGGCAGTCGGCGGCTACGATGTGGAGAAGAGCAACAGCCGCATCAAGCTGGGGCTCAAGAGCCTGGTGAACAAGGGCATCTTGGTGCAGACCAAAGGTACCGGCGCTTCCGGTTCCTTCAAGCTGGGCAAAAAACCGGGCGAAACCAAAGCGCCCAAGAAAGCGGCGGCGGCCAAGCCCAAGAAGCCCAAGCTCCCAGCAGCTGCGAAGAAAAGCCCCAAGAAGCCGGCAGCCGGCACAGCCAAAAAGGCAGCAGCTAAGAGCCCGAAAAAAGCCAAGCCTGTTAAGGCCAAGAAAGTAGTGAAGAGCCCCGCTAAGGCTAAGGCGATGAAGCCCAAGGTTGCTAAGCCCAAGGCAACGAAGGCAAACAAGGCAGCGCCCAAGAAGTAAAATGGCTTCAAGCAGATTGTTGCGTGAATAAACCCAACGGCTCTTTTAAGAGCCACCCACCCACTCGGGAAAGGAGCTGAAACACCAAAGCAGTTATCAAATCCTATTGGGTTGTGCTTACCTGTTTCCCTGGTAGGGCTAGTGTTCTGTAACAGACCCAGTCCTCAAATGCAGTACATAATCTATCGGGGGCGGGCCACCTTAAATTACACACTGGTCTTTTACCGGTGCTTAAACATCTAGGAAAGTGTTTAACTTGCTTCTTGTGGCAATACATTGACACTTACCTTAACACTAGCCAATTACCACAAACAACTTTCCTGAAAAAAAAGGAAAGGAGACAGTCGTCCACCTACACACTTCCTTTTTCTGTCAGTTTCTTGGCGGTAGGGAGGAGGGGGAGATAGACTAAAAACTTTACCTAAATTGTTAATTTAGAGCATCTTGTATAACGCTAGACTAAACGAAAGGTTTCCCAGATCTATCTTTTCAGGGGAAATCTGTAAAAAAAAGTTAAAAAGCTCTAATTTAGGGAAGAGTGCTGAGGGGTGAAGAGTTTTGACAACTGTGTCCATACATCATTTTACCCAGGCGGAGTGGAAAAGTGGGTTTGTTTTAGGGTTGAAGTCAAAATGATTACCCATTCTAACACGTTTACTCTGTAATCTTAAACTAAAACCACACGAAAGTCACTATTTCTGATTTTTGTTCTGCTTTTGTTTGATTCATGCATGATTTCTTGCTATACACACTCGCCCTTGTATAAGTCATTCTATCCCTTCCCCCTAGGCTGTGCTTTGATTTTTTTAACCAATGCTAAAAAAAACCTAAACAAAAAACAACAGAAAAACCCTGTCATTCTGTAGCCTGTCATTGAAATACTTTCAGTCTGATACTTTAGAAAAGCCTAGTCCAAGGGTTTCTTAGAAACGCATCAATTAAAATGATTGAAATAATTAAGATCTATATCAATATAAAGGAACAGGGTTTCTCCCTAAATATAAGTACATCTGTATTCCTATAGAATATTCCAAAATATACATCTTCACACAAAAATGATTTTTTTTCACTGTATCCAGTGTAAGGACAGACTGCTCATGATAAAAGTCACCCGGCCAATAATAAAGAAAAATTACTAAACCAGGTATCGAATCAGTATCTGGTATCAGCCTCGGCCATGGTATTAGGAATAGAATCCACCGCAGACAAAAGCAACAAACGTTTCTTGTTAATGTTTAATTGTGGAGGCAATTAAGTTCAGGGACTTGGAACAGCTGACTCAAGATCCATTCGGTAGTTTATAGAATGTGCTGTGGCCCTAGTCTCCTTAACAGCAGAAAGGAAAAACACCCACTTTCCTCTCTTTTAATTTCCGTATTGTGTGAAACGAGAGAAATTACAGGCTTTGGTGTGTAGTTATTCATACTAACACGAAACGCGTCAAAAGAGAACATGCAAATTAAATAGATAAATATTAAAACACCCCTCCCCAAGTTGATCTCCCTCGATAATCGACACCACCCCCCCCCCCGCTTTTTTTGAAGTATAAGTGACTCTGAAAAGAGCCTTTGGGGTAACTTTTCCGTGACCAACTCTGCCTTCAGCGCTGGGTTTACTTGGCCTTGGCCTTGTGGCTCTCGATCTTCTTGGGCAGCAGCACGGCCTGGATGTTGGGCAGGACGCCGCCCTGCGCGATCGTCACTTTGCCCAGCAGCTTGTTGAGCTCCTCGTCGTTGCGGATGGCCAGCTGCAGGTGGCGGGGAATGATGCGCGTCTTCTTGTTGTCTCGCGCCGCGCTGCCCGCCAGCTCCAGGATCTCGGCCGTCAGGTACTCCAGCACGGCCGCCAGGTAGACCGGGGCCCCGGCCCCGGCCCCGACCCGCTCGACATAATTACCTTTCGGAGTAACCCGGCACACCGGGAACTGCAGCCCGGCCCGCGAGGAGCGAGACTTGGCCTTGGCCCGCGCCTTCCCACCCTGCTTGCCGCAGCCCGACATGACAATTCAGACTATCGCCGACTCCCCGGTGCCAAAGAAAACAACATAATCCATTGGCTTTTCGCCTTTCAAACAGCTATTGAGCGATTGATGACAAGATGAGACGTTCACTGCCACCGCAGCCAATGGAGAGGCGAATCCAACCCCTGACCAATGGCAAGGGACGCCATGTGGCAATGACGTTTCTTGTTTCTCGCATCCAGTAAAAACCGACTAAACGGAATCCGCTCATTTGCATAGGGACCCTACAAATAGAGGGCTGGGGCTCATAACTGTCACCTATTCGGATAGTCTGGAGAAGAGCTTTAGAGCCTGTTAGGATGCCTGAGCCCGCGAAGTCCGCTCCCGCCCCCAAGAAGGGCTCTAAGAAAGCTGTAACTAAGACCCAGAAGAAAGGGGATAAAAAGCGGAAGAGAGCCAGGAAAGAGAGCTACTCCATCTACGTGTACAAAGTGCTGAAGCAGGTGCACCCGGACACCGGCATTTCGTCCAAAGCCATGGGCATCATGAACTCCTTCGTGAACGACATCTTCGAGCGCATCGCCGGGGAGGCGTCCCGCCTGGCGCACTACAACAAGCGCTCGACCATCACGTCCCGGGAGATCCAGACCGCCGTGCGCCTGCTGCTGCCCGGGGAGCTGGCCAAGCACGCCGTGTCCGAGGGCACCAAGGCTGTCACCAAGTACACCAGCTCCAAGTAAACGGGTTCCTTGCATCGTTTCACCCAAAGGCTCTTTTAAGAGCCACCCACTTTGTCCTTTAAAGAGCTGTATTAGCTGTTTTCACTTTTCAACTCCCACATAGGCTGGGGTTGGGGAGGGGCCAGGAGTTCCTTCGGTTTCTAATGGCTGTCATAACCCCGTGATCTTAAACTTTTTGTCATTCTACTCTCCCCTCCCCCTTCCAAGTCTCGCTTTTCTCCAAAGGTTAGGATTTCCATCCAGTCTCCCCCCAACCCCACATCCTTTTGACAGCGGTACCAATTTACGCGCACAACTGTTGTCACAAGTGATTTTTAAAAATTAGAGATGGCAACAAAACACTTATTTCACCCTATGTTGTTGTCGAAACCTCCAAGAAAATGTTTCAGCACCTTTGAGTGGGGATTGAGCGGCTCTGAAAAGAGCCTTTGGGTTGAATGAACTGTTTCCTAGCGATCGAGACGGGAGGCGCTGCAGTCCCTCAGGCCCTCTCGCCGCGGATGCGGCGGGCCAGCTGGATGTCCTTGGGCATGATGGTGACGCGCTTGGCGTGGATGGCGCACAGGTTGGTGTCCTCGAAGAGCCCCACCAGATAGGCCTCGCTGGCCTCCTGCAGCGCCATCACGGCCGAGCTCTGGAAGCGCAGGTCCGTCTTGAAGTCCTGCGCGATCTCGCGCACCAGGCGCTGGAAGGGCAGCTTGCGGATCAGCAGCTCCGTCGACTTCTGGTAGCGCCGGATCTCGCGCAGCGCCACGGTGCCGGGCCGGTAGCGGTGCGGCTTCTTTACCCCGCCCCCGGCGGGTCGGTGCGTGTTCTTCCGGCCGCCCGTGGCGGGCGCGCTCTTGCGGGCCGCCTTGGTGGCCAGCTGCTTGCGGGGCGCTTTGCCACCGGTCGACTTGCGCGCAGTCTGCTTCGTGCGGGCCATGCTTGGGGAAAGATTGATGCGAGCTGAGGAGAGACCAGAGCTCAGCAGCAAAAACAGAAAAGAATGAAGTGAGTGTGTACCGGCTCTATTTATAGCCGCCTTTCCTCTCCGATTGGCTGGTTGGGAAATCCCGAATACTATTGGATAGTTTGAAATGTCCTCGCTAGGCACAAAGCAAAAGCCATCCAAGTGGCCACTTTCCCGCTCTTTGGTGTTTTGCTGTTTTTTTTTAACCGGGTAGCACAGGATCGCGCTCTGAACATGATCATCTTTAGACCATATATTTTTCGCGCGGTTCCCTTGCACCTATATTCCTACTCTCCCACGCAGCCCACATCCATGTTAGAGATTTGCTGTTTTGCTTTTGCTATTTCAAAAGCTATCAATTCCTTCTGGACTTTATCCCCCACGTTTAAGAAATGAACAACCATAACAGGCATAAAGTCTCAGGCACAGGAGGGAGTTTCAGTTGCATCCCAGCATGAATGAGCCTGATTCCCCCCCCCCCCCCCCCCCTTTTCCCTTTTGCGTTTAGTTTGCGGTTTCGCAGACGGGGGAAGGGCACACAAGCCCTTTTTTTTCCTTTTCTCAGACTGAGGGGCGCCCCTCTCTCAGAAAGGGCATCTTTATTCTTCTTTATTGCTCTTTAAAGCCTAAAGAGACGAGTGATAGTTTGAGATCTTAAACAGCCATTTTAAACTGCAGTGTCCAATATTTAACTCAGTAGGCAGATTGTTTTCCTTCATTATTCTAACACACTCTCTGTATTAGTATACGTTCATCTTTAAAACTATTTCATGTTCGTATGTCTTAACCTTTCGGAAAGAAGCCCCGTTTTGCCAATGACAAGCGAATCCCGCACCTGCTCCTGTCCCTTTGTCGCTAAGATCTGCTTAAAAGAAAAGCCACGTCCAAACGTTACTTTTGAAGTGTCGTTTTTGCCTTCCCTTTTAATCCCCAGTTTTGAATTTCAAGCATTTTCCCGCCGAAACAAATCTGAGCAATTGGCTTTCCCGACACATCAGTTTCTTCCTCCCCAGTGTTCACCGCCTTTCCCAGTCTGGGCGGTGGGAGAGCGGAGCGAGAGGAGCCGGGCGCTGAAACGCCTCCGGAGAGGGAACCGCTGGGCCCTTTAATCATAACTCGTCACATAAGGAGCGTGCCCGTTTCTTTCGTCTTCCAGCAATTAAAATAATGCATATGGAAATAGCTTCCTTTTTATTATTGCTTATTTTTGCTCTTTGCTTCATATACATAGCGGGAATGCATTTGTGTTACCCTTTAGCCCTTCCTCATTCCAGAGCAAGGGGCTTCCTAATCCTTTACTGCCCTCTGGTGGATATTAGTATTCGTAGCTGCAGACTTGTTGACAGATGCCATGTCAGTGTTTGCTGTGACATACTAGAGAAAGTCTTCCTGAATATATAAAGCAGGGGTGGCCCAATTGCAGCACATGTGAGGCATAGGCAACCTCTTTGTGTGGCATGCAGCAGATGGGGGAGGGAGCAGAAAGCAGAAGAAAGAGATGGTAGAGAGATGGATGAGTAGCTACAGTTTGGGGATTGGGCTGTGACTAGGAATTCCTGCTCCAGATCTTTAAGGTGTTCATTCCATTTGGTGGGACCAGAGCAGATCTGGCTGTCAGGTAGAGCTTGGCCCATATACACCCCAGGGAACTATGCACACAAAAATTAAAAATCATTCACAAAAAAACTCAACATTAATTACTTTTTTTTTTTTTTTTTTTTTTTTACAAATTAAACTAAATATAAGACAATTTGAAACTTTTTTAGAAATATATGCAGGTACTTTGTATGGATGTGGGTGTGTGTGTATGGGAGGGATTTGGGAAGGTGTGGGGGAGGGTGGGTCTGTATGGTGGGGTTTGTGGGGAAAGTGGGTATGGGAGTATGTGGGGGTTGTGTGTGGATATGGGGTGTCTGGGGGAGTTGTGAAGGGTGTGGGCCCCCCCATGACACCCCCCCCCTCACCATGATGTACAGTCCCCACCGCTGGCAGCTCAGCACCAGCAACGGTGGGCCTTCAGGGTGCTCATGGCCTCAACAGGGAGAGCCCCCTGCTGCATGCACCTCTGGCTGAGTCCCAGGGCCTGCACATACTAGCACGGAGTCAGCTTAGTCTGCTGGCACACACCTTAACACCAGACTAGGCTGGCTCCATGCCAGCACGTGGGGCTCGTGGCACTGCAGGAGGGAGCCGAATGCCATCGGGTTGGGCAGGCTCCATGCCTCCATGTGCAGCTTCCCACTAGAGTGCTGGAAGCCCCACATGGAGGTACAGAGCTAGTCAGCCCAGCCTGATGGCACGTGGCCCATAGCCACCCACAAACCCCACAATTATCCACACACACCCTCACAAACCTCATGCCCCCCCTCCCCCTGCAGGCAGGAGCTCCCCTTCCCACTTAGCCCGCAGTCCAGCCCCATGGCTCTGTGCCTCCAGGTCATGGACGTGGAGGCACAGAGTCCCTCACAGTTAAATTATGCAAAATTATGCAATTATGCACAGTCATGCCTTTTATGCACAAAATTGTGCAGGCTCATAATCGCATAATTCCCCGGGGTTTAGCTATAGATAATGGATATAGTGGTAAGCTTAGGGTGAATGCTGGTAATGTGATGGTCAGGTGGTTTCCGATACAATGTTGTGGTGACGTGCCTATTGCACACTTTCATGGTGGTGTCTAGGAAATCAATTTGCTACATGAAGTATTCTAGAGTTAGCTTGATAGAGAAGTTCTTAAAGTCTTGGTGAAATTTCTTTAGAGTTTCCTTTGCATGTGTCCATACTATGAAGATACCATTGAAGCACCTGAGGTATGCCAAAGGGGTGGGGGGCAGCTGTGGAGGAAACTAACTTTGATGTCCATCATAAATACGTTGGCATATTGGGTGGCCATACATGTGCCCATGGCAGTGCCATTCATTTGTAGGTACAGGGAGTCCACAAACTTGAAACAGTTGTACACAAAGGCAGAGCAAGTGAGTGTAATGGAACAAGAAGGAATCAGAACTCATGGTAGAGGTAATATCTTTTATTAGACCACCTATCTATTTACAAAAAAATAGTCTTTATTTGTAAACTTTTGGGCGCGCACACCCTTCCTCAGGCATAGAAGAATGCAAAAGTTATGGAAACAGAAGCAATTTTCTCATTAGTTTTAGGGTGCTCTGGTGTTCTCTTGAGCCTGGCAGTGCCAAATGACTGATCAACTGTGGCCCCACATTTAATTTAAGGTGCAATGGGAACCAGTCACAAAATTATTACACACAACATATTGTTCTGTAATAACTTTGTGGATTATTCACTGTTTTATTGCACCATTAATTGTACAAACATGTAGCTGGGTTACTACTAACAACATGATTAACTGGTTAATCATATCTCAAGAGTAATGCCTGCCAGGGTTCTTACTGGTTCCTTGAACCTTTTCAGAACAACAGATTAACAGAGCCATAAAACCAGAATAACACAGCCATAAAACCATAGAACTTAAATACCTCAGGGGTTATCTAGTCCAACTACACACACAGATACAGGGTTTGCTATTTCTAAATCATTCCAGACAGGTGCTGTCACCTTATATCCTGCTCTCTGTGATAAGAGAAAATATTTTTTTCCCCATCTTTTTAGGGAACCTGTATGCAGAACACCACTTAAATTTAAATTTCCTAAAACCTGTTTAGGAACAGTTAAAGTAAAATTATCTTAAAGCTCAGCAATTTGGGAAAACCACAGTTAAGGTCATGTTTCCAACACCTATTCCCACCTTGCCCCTTTGAGGATGACAATAATCAAAGGGACAAAAGTGAACCTCGCCTTTTCTCAGTAACATCTGTTACTTTCTGTGTTATGACCTACACAATGATACACAGTCATTCCATTTCATATACTCTGAGTGCCCCTCACTGTGATCATATGCTAAAGGAATTAATTTTTTAAAAAATATCCAGGTTTTTTAGTGAACTCTGATGAGATGTGTATCTGTCAGAAGGGAATCAGGGATCCTTGATTTCTTGGTTATGTGATGCAGGAGGGCCAATTAGATTATTCTAGTGCTTACAAGCTTCTCTGGTCTGCATTTAAAAAATATTGGGAGTTTTAGGGAAGCTAAAATAGCTATTTTTGCCACCAAAAGTGGATGCTGCACTAAGAATATAAAGAAAATGCAGAATATAAGGGAGCGTCCATTCTTTCTGAAGTCTGATCAGCAGCAATAGAAGTTTGCCTGTACAATGATAATACCAAAGGCTCCTAGGTGAGGCAAGATTTATGCCAGCAAGAGTCAGCAACCACTTAAACCAACTTTGCAATCAGAGCATGCTGTCACAAGCCTAGGTTCTGTTCAGCACCTCATACCCAATATACAGTCCTTCAGCTACTGACATCCGGATCAGAGCAGTTATCCTTATCAGTAGTGAGTAGACATTTAAACCTCTAGCTGAGTCCCACTCAGACATTTTTTTTTGTATATTTGTTTTTCCCCCAGGGTTATTTTCCCAACTTGTGGCATTTTAGTGCCAGCCAGGGCTTTGGGTCATCCTAGTCCCTAATAAAACCAATCCAGTCATTAATAAGGACCCCCACCCCCGCTGCCATTTTCCCCCCAAAGCATTGCCATTGTACTATATGGGAGTTATCATTAGGCCTGTGAGAATAAGGAACTATTCGATTCAGGTTCAGATACGGCCGATTTGGACACCAGCGATTTGATTCGGAGCTCCAAATCGGTTTCCCGCTTTGATTCAGCTGAATCGGCTCTGAAGCATCAGAGTTGTTTCAGAGATTCAGCCATAGAGTATAATGGGGAATCAATGAAATATCTATAACTTTATTGTTTTTTGTCTGAATTGGATGGACTGGTAGCCTATGCTGAGAGAATGAAGCCTGCCAAGTTTCAAGGAGATAGATACAGGGATTTGGGGGAAACTGCACCCCAATTTCTTGAAAGCAAAACTCATGTCACATGTATGTGTTACGCCACGGTGGGGTGA